GGCCTCCACGCAAGATCTCCCCCCGTGGGGTCAAAATGATCACAAGAACTGTGAGCAAAAATCCCAGAACCACACGGGGGGACCTAGTGAATGACCTGCAGAGAGCTGGGACCAAAGTAACAAAGGCTACCATCAGTAACACACTGTGCCGCCAGGGACTCAAATCCTGCAGTGCCAGATGTGTCCCCCTGCTTAAGCCAGTACATGTCCAGGCCTGTCTGAAGTTTGCTAGAGAGCATTTGGATGATCCAGAAGAGGATTGGGAGAATGTCATATGGTCAGATGAAACCAAAATAGAACTTTTTGGTAAAAACTCAACTTGTCGTGTTTGGAGGAGAAAGAATGCTGAGTTGCATCCAAAGAACACCATACCTACTGTGAAGCATGGGGGCGGAAACATCATGCTTTGAGGGTGTTTTTCTGCAAAGGGACCAGGACGACTGATCCGTGTAAACTAAAGAATGAATGGGGCCATGTATCGTGAGGTTTTGAGTGAAAACCTCCTTCCATCAGCAAGGGCATTGAAGATGAAATGTGGCTGGGTCTTTCAGCATGACAATGATCCCAAACACACCGCCCGGGCAACGAAGGAGTGGCTTCGTAAGAAGCATTTCAAGGTCCTGGAGTGGCCTAGCCAGTCTCCAGATCTCAACCCCATAGAAAATCTTTGGAGGGAGTTGAAAATCTGTGTTGCCCAGCGACAGCCCCAAAACATTACTGCTCTAGAGGAGATCTGCATGGAGGAATGGGCCACAATATACCAGCAACAGTGTGTGAAAACCTTGTGAAGACTTACAGAAAACGTTTGACCTCTGTCATTGCCAACAAAGGGTATATAACAAAGTATTGAGATTAAATTTTGTTATTGACCAAATACTTATTTTCCACCATAATTTGCAAATAAATTCTTTAAAAATCCTACAATGTGATTTTCTGGATTTTTTTTTCTCATTTTGTCTCTCATAGTTGAGGTATACCTATGATGAAAATTACAGGCCTCTCTCCTCTTTTTAAGTGGGAGAACTTGCACAATTGGTGGCTGACTAAATATTTTTTTCCCCCACTGTATATACTAACAAGCAAGACAAATTTCTTCCTCAGTGTCATTGCTGGCCTCAGATCAGTGAGAGATGAGGACATTGCAATCACTCTTGGTGTGGCATCCTATCAGCTCGTGGTGTGTGTTAAGCGGTAAGGGGTACAGAGACGACTTAACACATGAAGGGGCTGGATCCAGAGGTTTTGTGTGTGTATGCTGGGAGTCCTATGTAATTATCCGCACTCAGTCTTGCGATGAATCACACCATACCCGTAATTAGAACCAATAAGCTCATTTATTTATAGATAATTAAAAACCTCCCAGTGTTTCCATGGACAGAGATGCTGCACAAGTGATGCATGTAAAAACATGATGTAGGATTGAGAGAAACTAGTGTGTGCATTAAAAAAAAACTCTAGACTTGACTCTTGCCTTGCCTGTGACAGCAGAAATAAACTTAATCTACAGATGGTTCTGATCATTACTGCAAGAGTCATTTTCACTAGGACAAAAAGATTCAAGCCCATCTTATATCCCTACATGGCTCCACGACTTAATTTCAAAGCTGTAAATGGGCAAGTTGCCACTATCATGCCTTAACATAATATTGCCCTCGTCATCAACTCAAACCATTAAGACACAGGCTTTTTTATCAGCTCAAAGTGAGCTTATTGTTAGAGATGCAACTATGAAAGTCAGATAGACTCTAGTATTTAAGACTGGGTTAAAAACAGAGCATCTGACTGTATTGCAGTGGTGGGGCGTCAGGGCCAGCAAAGCCTTCTCTGCTGGCCTAAACACGATCAGAATCACTGATTTAGTTTTAATATATTTTTCCATGAATGTGTATTAAATTATTTCCAATAGTCTATTCTCTTCAGTTCATAGCTTTTATCTTGGTTGCACTGCTTCCAGCAGTGTATGTTTATATTAGAGCTTTTATCCAATCATATTTCAGCAATCGTGTTGCCAGGGTCAAAGAAATCTGCCTTAAGGCCTTCAGAATCCACAGTGCAGGCGTCTGTTAGCTTAAATTGTAAATGGAAAGAGGATGACAACTGATTCAGCAAGCAGCAATGGTTCTACACACCAATTAATTTCCATGAATTTAAATTTCCAGGACTTTTTCAGTTGGTTTATGATTACTCAATAAGGACTTTTAAATATAATTAATATGAAATCCCCAAAATCAGTTTCTACACGATGAAATATTAACAATCACAGCAACTGGAAAGAAATTTCCTTGAACTTTTTTTTTAATTTCATGACTCTATGACTTGTGTAAATTCCCTAAAAATCCCAGGCTAGAATTTACCAGCTATTATTTTTGTTCCCCTTGGTCCACTCATAATGATGCCAAGCCGACATGCTTAACAGAAAAAAATAACCACATAGTTGTGGACATATAGAAAGGATGATTTTTAATCACACTGTAGAAGGGAACAGATATAAAATGGATCGTACCACTCAAAAAAGCCAGCAGGAATCATTTTAACCTAATTAAAGTCATGCGTTCCATTATAGAATTATATATGCCATCTAATTGGAGGGAAGCTGACGTCAATTCTGCGCTGATCCAATATCATAATAAAAAACAGCACAATCGCCTGTCATGTACTTATTTTACCACCTTTAGTGGATTTAGGTCAGTTTGTCCCTCCACCAATGAGGCTATTCCGGTCCACACTTTCACATAGTGCTTGACACTCTGCAAATAATCCATCATCATCACATGATAATCACAGTCAATACAATTTCATTACATGAAATGTGGTGGGTTGGCCCAGTCACGACAAGCCACCCCCAAATGCTTGTCATGTCTTGTCATTATGAATGGAGGCTTGAAGTATCTCCAGCCCATGTGAAGCATGTAATTTTGGCACTATGGACAAACGCAATAGTATTAGCAAATAGCAAACTGGACAATTTCGCTCACCTCAGGACGAACAGGGTCTTCAATGCCCACAACACAGATGCAGGTCAGGTCATTCAGAATGTCAGCCTCGTTGTCCCAGTCTGGCTCTGTTGTGAAGTCCCTCATGGCTACACAAATGGTCCTTAACCCGTCACAGGCCATTGGCTCGATCACTTTCCGCACCATCTCATCCCGATCTTTGGCCTTGAAGACACGTGGCTGGCCTGAAGCATCAAGGATATGGGAACACCTGACAGAAAAGAGAAAAGTTTAATAACCACTCAAAACTACTACTACTACATTTTGCTTTAAAGGAGGAAGATGCAACAAAGGAGAAAACAGAGGAGAAATGGAAAAAAGGGATCATATCATTTTTTCTATTATCTTATTCCCTTCACCTCTATTTAATTTTTTTTTTTTTGCTGTTGTGCCTTTAAGAAGCACCCCCTTAATGCTTCAGGTTTGTAACACTGAAAAACCAAAAACTTCAGAACTCATTCTTACTGCAGTCTTTTTGGACTGAAAGTTGTTTTCCCACTATATCAAACTCCTTTATCTCTAAACAAAGATTAAGTAAAATTTTATTTCTTATGATATGACCCCTTTAAGAGCTTGAGAATTAATTTAGCATACTTGCGCAGGACAATCTCAGAGGCACCCTTGCTGTACATTCGGAAGCCGGGACCACTGGTGTTCTTTAGTACGGTACTCATGCTCTTTCGGGAGGAGTTGAACGTGTACACCTTATAAAGTTTTTCCTCAGGAACTTCATCTCTAATAGGCTGATAGTCTCTCTTCAGGTCCAACACCATACCAAGAAGGGCACACTCCGTCTTATTACCCACATGCCTTGGCAGACCTCCCTCCTTCTCTGAAGGCTATGGGAAAGAAAGATAGATCGTAAATAACAGGTAAGAAAAGTTCAAAAACTATACATTAGATATTGTCATTCTATATGTATAGTTTTATCTATATAGTTTATCAAATTAATTGCATTTAAATCACACATATTGATATTTTCTGAGACACAACCCCCAAATTTAAATAACTGAAACATTGTGGCAGAAGAGTAAAGCACTGAATAGACATCACAAAAATGGCTGCAGAAGTCCATATATTGTTTTTCAACAACAAGTTTTTCTCTGCCTGACGACAATCAATTTCGCTAACGGTTTGAGTTGTCCATCGGTTTGATGAAGCCTAAGTAGTAGTTCAGACTACGGTCATTATTTATATACTACTATACTTTTTATTTTATTTTATTATTATTATTATTATTAGTTTTCATTTTAACTTTGATGTCATATGCTCGTCATTTTTTTATTACTGTCTACAGATAATTTATTATTTCAGTTTTAGACCAGTTTTTGTTAATTTTAAGTAAATTTAGTGCTTTACGCTGAGTTGTCCATCGGTTTGATGAAGCCTAAGTAGTAGTTCAGACTACGGTCATTTATATACTACTATACTTTTTTTATTTTTTTATTATTATTATTATTATTAGTTTTCATTTTAACTTTGATGTCATATGCTCGTCATTTTTTTATTACTGTCTACAGATAATTTATTATTTCAGTTTTAGACCAGTTTTTGTTAATCTTAAGTAAATTTAGTGCTTTAACAAAGTTAGTTGTCAAAGGGCAAATTTATATACTACTATACTTTTTATTTTATTTTATTATTATTATTATTATTAGTTTTCATTTTAACTTTGATGTCATATGCTCGTCATTTTTTTATTACTGTCTACAGATAATTTATTATTTCAGTTTTAGACCAGTTTTTGTTAATTTTAAGTAAATTTAGTGCTTTAACAAAGTTAGTTGTCAAAGGGCAACATTTCTAATATTTGTGAAGTGTTTCATCGAATATATTAACATTTTATTTTATTTCAGCTTAAGTTAACAAAAATGTTTTTAATATAGTACAGTAGTCAACATTTGAAGTGGATCAAAACCTTTCATCAAAGTTGTCCTAAAACAAAAACAATACCCATTCTTGTCTTAGGACATCTTTGATCAACTTTTTTGATCCACTTCAAATGTTGACTACTGTAGTTTTAGTTAACGGTAATAATCCTGGTTCAGAACTGTTGCTCTATGTACACATGCAGACTAATGTCTATGAGCATTGTGTTTTTCTGCATCTACATGTTTAAAACAACACACTAAGTAGTACAACTTTCTTCACAATACATCAAGTCCCCTGCATTTGGTTCCATTCTGCTATGCTTTGTCTAGCCATCTTAACTCAAGAAAATGCCTTATGCAAATGACTCATTAGTCATTTTGTGCTGTCCTGCTCTTGGTAAGTGTGTTTTGGCTGGGGCTGACTGTGGACTTCTAATTTGACAACCCTATAATTAATAAATAAACAGAAAACAAAACAGATCATTTATTCATCTGTATCTCATTTGCGTATGGCTAATTCTTACCAGGATCTTGGTAGTGTAGGCTGAGTTTATGGAGATGCTGTTCACCAGTACCTCCAGAGTCTCTGAATTAATGGCCTCTGGTTCAGGAATGCTTTTATAGTGTGTGTCACCTATGTAAGCCTGCACCACCGTCATGCGATTCATAGTCAGCGTTCCAGTTTTGTCAGAGCAGATGGCTGTGGCATTACCCATGGTCTCACAGGCATCCAGGTGCCTCACCAGATTGTTGTCTTTCATCATTTTCTGTTAAGGAAAACAGGAATTAATGTGGTTATACTTGGGGAAAGGAGTGTGCTTTAGCCCTCAAACATAGATTAGCACAAATGTAAAGAATCAAGCAACATTTACTGACTTATATCCCCCTGAACACCCTCAAGACATCAACAAATTACAGGTTTGAGTTGGCAAACTAACCCAGAGGCTCTCACCTTGACTGAAAAAGCCAGAGAGATAGTGACAGCTAGAGGCAGCCCCTCAGGCACAGCTACCACAAGCACGGTCACACCAATAATGAAAAACTTCACAAAGTATTGAATGTAGATTGGAGTGCACTCTGCCGTCCACTCACGGCCCTGGACACCGAACGTATCAATGACAAAGAACAGGATAAGTATGATGACGGTCACCGCAGACATGATGAGACCTGCCGGAGGAGAGGGGATTTCAAAACCAATATGGCAGAGGGAAAAAAGCCTCCTGACTTGAGTTCATAAAAGCAACAGCTGTGGCCTGATGTGCTCCATCTGAATGTTATTTGATTGGGTAACTCTAGGAAATAGGATAATTAGGTGGAACACAGCCCAAAGGGACAAGCTTGTTTCCATACTGGGTGACACAGTTTCTTTAAGCAGTAAGTAAAACAAACCATGGGAACCAAATGAACTAATTTACGGAAATGACGTCTGAAGAAATGCATGTGCTTTTGAACACATGGCTAATTAGTATAAATATTTTGCTTTAAAGCTGCACTTTGTTTGCTATGGCAAATATGCCAGTCATCTTAGAGTCATCTGATGTAGCTATAGATCATTTGAAACATGTTTTCCAAAGTTATCTTGATTTCTCGGTTTAAAAAAATACCTTTAAACTAAATTCATAAAAATAGAGATATGATATATAAATTTTTTTAAATTTAAATATCTTAGAGCCTTTTAAATCATATTAAATTTCACAACATATATCAGGAGGAATCATTTCAGCCTAACAGCTGTCTAGTAGACTCATAATGCGAATCAATCAATGTCAAATGTGAATCAGTTTTAGAAAACAAATTCACAGGGGGGAAAAAAGACTCAAACCTACCAACTCTAATATTGTTTTTGATACTGAAGTTTAAAGCAACAAAGTATCAACGACAAAATCAAAGCATGATAAAAAACTGTTGGGAAAGTGATATTTAACCATTACTGAGATGGTATATGGTATACACGTTTATTGGGCACCCTTGACACCCAGTTGTGCGGTTTTCTAACCTGCTTTTCCAATCTGAACAGCTAGCCTGGTCAGCTTGCCCTGCAGGACCGACTTTTCTTTCTTGGTGACGTTGACCTTCTTTTTCTCCTTTTCTTCTTTCTCCTCCTTCTCCTCTGACTCCGCACCTTCCTCGCTCTTCAGCGGTTGGATCTCCAGAGCAATGCCATCCTGGGTCTTAGCTGTGGGGGTTGATTTTTAAGGAGTGGTTATGGGAACAAGGGAGGAACATGCCAAAAAAGGATGGAGGGAGATGAGAGGCAGGGGGAATGGGGAAAAAGGGAAGAGGGGAGAGAATGGGCAGTTCAGTAACAGCTAGAGGGCAAGTCATACAGTGGGTTCCTAGAGAATTATACAGAAGAACCATATCAGAAGCGCTTGATTAATGTTAGTTGACTTTGCTTGAGTGAACCTGGGCTGGCAAAGAGAGAGCTCTAAATTCACAGAGCCATTCCCCGGCAGGTTAAGGTGGGCACAGTGAATTGACAGTGACTTGAGTATGACCCAAGCAGCACACAAGACGTTTCCATTGGCACTGAACAATGAGCTACTCGTTTATAATACCATTATAAATATAAAATAAACTATTAGGTGTGTAAACCTCAAATAGCAATGAAAATGTCTTCTCTATTTTATTATCCGATTAGTTGAAATTAAATTTGCCTTTTATTTCTCTTATGGTTGTTTTACTGTGCCAGCATGGCTCCTCTGGAGGTTGCATCTGTTGATGTTCAACCCACTTTAAAACAACTTACTGGACTTTTGCAATATTGTATTACAAATAACTGCACCAAACTGAAATAGACATAAGGGAACTATACATTTATCGAAAAAATACATTATCAAGGCAAACCAGCTGCTAGTTAAAAGAAATGTTGGGAACTTTGATAGTTTTAATTCAATTATGCTACTTGCAGGGATAAAATGACATATTATATTACCCAATTTCCCACTGAAATAGAAACTTAATGGAGTCGAAGATCCAATTCAGCTACTTTGCTGTGGATAGACATTGATCCCTCACCCCCAATTCCCATTAAGTCTCCATTTTAAAAGATACAAAGAGGCCAAGTCGTTTTCATTTTGCAGTTAGCAAACATGGTGTGCAACATGCTGAAACTCTGTAGTGGTGGAGTTTGAGAAACAGTCCAAGAGCCTACCTGACCACCAGTCACAACAAACAACTGACCAGAACTGACAGAGCTGACCAGAACGACCACACATGAAACGGGGATTGATGGACGGACTGACTGTCTGACTGACAACACGAACAGATGCACGCACGACGAACAAGAGAGTGATTTACAATCAACTTAAAAACAGAAAAAACGGTCCAAACAGCCAGAAATACAACCACCACGAGAAAAACAAGGACCAAGAGGAAGACGAAAAAGATCAGAGAGAATCTGGTTTATTTTTCCGCTCCCAAAAGAGAGAGTACGTTACCAGAGAAAGAGGTTATAGGAGAAAGAAAAGGTCAAATTTTGACCAAGAGAAGAGTGTACGAGACAGCATGAAGTCCTGAGCCACACCCTAGAAAGAAGCAACAGTGAGAAAAACAAAGAGCTAAAGTAAAGGAACGGACAAAAACAACAATCCACAGCCGGTCCATTTTGCAAGGGTGCAACTCCCACATAAGCCACGCCCCTAAGCATTACATTCACATCATAAACCATCTGTGAAGCTAGGAACACATTGTACTGGGCAATGTGCATCTGTACAAAAGCTCACGGATGCATATAAACAATAAATAAGTCAACGTGAGACCCTGTTCGTAACACACTGTTCTTGCTATGCATTTCAGAGTGCAAAAAGGACAATAAATCTTTTTTTTTTAAGTGTTGGACTTAATTTTATCCGTCCAGAATTGATTAGAGTGTGAAAAGCGGGTGTTTCATACAAGACAATACCATAGAGCAAGACCTGAACATGATTAAATCTTCTAAAATAGCTTTTTGGCTAACACTTAAAGACCAGGGGAAGACATACATACATACTCAGTGTTAAACCAATACCAGCTTGTGTGCTTGAGACCAAGGGCAAAAGGAAGGAGATCTGTGCAGACAAAATGAGCAGTTCTGTCTGGAGCAGATTGCTCAGTCCCCGAGCACTACAGGGGGTGGGGCTGGGGAGGGATTGTTGGGGTCACCCAGGGCAGAGTGGGCACACTCTGAAACACAGTACAAATGTTCACAGATGACCCAGCCAAGCACACAGAGATAGTTGCCTTCTGAAAGGGAGAGGTATCTAAATGTCACATTAGTCAAAATTTAGATCTACATAAGAAAAATTGATACATGCAATCATTAGTGTTGCCAATGTAAACATTCACGTATGACATTAAACAATGTTTTATGCAGAGTTTATCAAATCCAGTCCTTTAAACAAAAAGGCATTTGAAGTTTTTATGGTGGAAATTAAATATTAAAGTATGTTCGAAATACTATGTACGAGCAGAAAACATTGCAGATAATAGGGATGGGTAGGATGGTCGACTAGCTGTCAAACCATCAGCTACTCTAGTCAACGACTTTGACTAATTTGTCTAGATTTAAAAACGTTCTCTTTCATTGTTGCAATGCATCTCTCACTATGACATATTACAAACCTGTAAGTGAACGCTGACTGCACTACACTGAGAAAACGTAAGTAATGTAAAAAATATATATTATTTCAGAAAAAATTTGAGAATGACGTAAAAAAAAAAAAAAAAAAAAAAAAAATTATTTTGAAACTACTTTTAGATTCATCGCAGTTATTTAAATCAACTGACAAACTCTGTATAAAGAGGAGCTGCAGAATTGCAAAGTCTTCTGGCTGCTTAGTGCCGTTTCCAGCAGGTGAGAGTTGCACCCTTTTATAGGTAAAGCAAGGCGAGAAGCTCCCCCGGGCTCAGCAGGAAGAGGTAAGCAACAGCGTGAAAGACAGAGAGAGAAAGTGAGCAAGTGAGTGAGTGGGACTGACACGAGACTCCGAGACTTGCTGCTGAATGGGGAGGGGGGAGGAGGAGAGGGGAGAGGGAGTGGGTAAGGTTACCTTTGTTGCGATTTTCGGGGGGTCCTTGTTTTTTACCTGTTTAAAACGAGAGAGAGAGGGCGGAGGGCTGATATAACATGGCTCAAAGTAAATAAACCAAAGACAGAAGAAGAAAAGAAAGAAACACAACAACAAAAGAATAAAAACTAGATAAGTAACAATACATTACATGAGTATATGTGGGATTGGATGTGTCATCTATAGAAAAAGACAAGGACTGGAGGGGCTTTATGCAGGGTACGCTGACGGCTCGGTCATTGCTTTTGACTGTGGCATACAGCTGACAAAACCTCCTTACAATTTAGCGGTTTCATAAAATGTCAGATTTTTGTTCGCTTGCATCATGAACTATGATAATGCCAACAGGATTTGGCTAAAACCAAAAGGCAGTTCTCTGAATTTCCATTGGCAAACACATTAGACAAAAATATATTTTTGAACATGAGGGGAAAGGGATAAATTACAGCAATTATCTAACTAAAAGACAATGACTTAATTGTCATTATAACAAAAATAAAGGAATCAAAATATTCAACGTTTTAGAGCTGCTCTTTTAGCTTTTAAGGCAGTGAGAGAGGAAACCATTTAGACCAGTCTGACTGCTGAATTATGTGGCGACCCAACAAACAGAAACATGAAAAAGACACTGTGAGCTGACAGTAGATGTTTTTTTTTTAGGAGTACCAGGAGAGCCAGTGAATGCAGTAGGGACATACTGCAGACTCAGTTGGAGGTGGAATAAGACGACAGGTATGACTGTTCCTTTGACTGTTCAAATTATCATGATCCTTTATTTCAGTGTTATGCATGTAACATTTACGAAGACATTTTTTAGCCAATTAGAAATAACTAGCTCAAATTTAGCTTAAACTAACAGAAAAAATGGAGAAAAACAATATCAAAATAAAAACTAAGATAAAAGAGTAAGTACCACGGAAAGTGACTCAAGGGACACTGTACGTCTCCACCGACATACTGTGATTATTCCCCAAATAAAAGTCGAATTTAAAACTTGGCAGAGGATTTTAGAGCAGCGGGAGCTTTGGGGGAGGAAGACAATTCAGCAAATCATGTGAACATCTCTTACCTTTGGCAGGCTGATGGTAGGTAACCTCCCATCTAGAGAGGTAGACCGTTTACTCACTCAAAGAGAGAGGGGAGTTATCCAAATGAGAATGAAAGTATGTTCGTTTCTCACCTTTCTTCATCTTCTTCTCCTCATCCTCACTGCCGGCGCCCAAGAGGGTAAAAATTATTCCAGTCTGAGAATTCAGGCCCACGGCAGAGACCACCATTCGGCCAGATCCCTCCATCACATGAGTTCCTTAGAGAAAGCAGAAGGAATGGTCGTGATGATACTAGTCAACAGTCCCATCATCATCATCATGGAATTTCATTTTTCTTAATAGCAATTTCAATATCAAAGCAATAACTAGCATAAAAACTAGTTAGACAGTAACGGAATTAATTGCAATTACTGGCTTATACATTCTTTGAGCAAATTCAGTGATAAAGCTAATTAAACTCAGTGAATGGTTTAGTATTTTCTAGTCAGTACTACTATTTGATTAATATAAATAAACTGTGATTTTTAATTTTTTTTTAAATGACAGTAGCATGGTAGAAACTAGGGGCTAAAGCTAAAGTAAGGTATTAAATCCGACATCATGAGTCAATGTTTCCAGGTCTAAATGCTCTTCTGAATCCCAAAAGCAAACAACAAACAGTGCTAAAATATAGTCACTTTGTACTGTAGTACTACTGAATAAAACATGATCCTAACCTTCATCTCCATAACAAAAATATCAGCTGGCAGAGAGTGATTCATCTTTTCTGATTCATTACAATATTGGTGTTTGGGATACCATGAGCCCAGAGACTGTACTGTAAACCATGAGTTTTAAAGCTTAAAGGTGCTATAAATGAATATTGCTCATCAACAGCTTTTGAGAGGGTATTCCCATTTAAGATGAAGGAGTCTTGGACCCAGAAATAGTATTGTCACACCTTAATAAGCGGTTTGTATGCTTGAGCGAGGCACTTAACAACAAGGCTGCTCTAGGGGGATTGTTTCTGTAGTGAACTGTAAGTTGCTTTGGATGAAAGCATGTGCTAAATGACTGCTTACGTTCTAAATGACAATACTTCAAACTAAAGCAAAGCAGCTGAGTGGCTTCAAAAAAAAAAAAAAGTAAGGCCTTCATGTCTATTCCACTGAAGTGGGGTCCAAAAGTTATTTGATATGATTTCAAAATTACAAATTATATTACCAGAATAATAATTTGATAGGAGAACAAAAAACATGTTTGATAATACATTTTTTAAAACATGTATTTTTGAATTTTTTGCTTTTAATACTTTGTTGTCGTTTCTTTTTTTTCATATTTAATCCGAGATTGTGGCCTCTTTTGTGCCCTACAACAGAAGTTAACAAGGGGATGTAACCAAGGAAAAAAGACAATCTATCTCACCAGAAAGGAGCATGGGGTCCTTCTCCAGAGATTTGCGGACATGATCGGACTCCCCAGTCAGAGAGCTTTCATCAATCTTCAGGTCGTTACCCTGGATCAAGATACCATCAGCTGGGAGAAGGTCACCTAATGGAAAAGAACATGGGGCGGTGAATGACTGTGGGATGACTTGGAGACAGAGGAAGAGAAAGACACATTCAGCAATTCAGCAAGAGGAGAGGAGCAGAGGCTGATTTGGAGACCATGACGACAGATCTCTCCTGTGGCTCTTGGACACCCTACGCGTCGCCCACGTTGCAGGCACCATGAGCAACAGCGCAGTGACTCACGCAAGCCAGTAAGCATGAGTCATGAGCCATGCTTTTGTGTCTCAGAGAAGACTGGCAGTCACATGTGATCCATCAAAACCGCTGATGAATTCAATGAGGAACTCGCCTCTTAGGTTTAATAAAAAGGCAAAGTGTTCTGGGGGGGAAAACTAAATGCCACAGCACTCATAAAACACAAATATGGCAGAGATCGCTGGATACAGTGACGTGTCACATCTAGTTCTGTCACACTGTGGAAATAAATCAACAGGTTTACACCATATTTCCTGTGTTCTCAGACGTGAACTCTCACCGTATTTGATTTGTGCAATATCTCCCACAACGATTTCAGCCACTGGGATCTGGATAACCTGGCCCTTGCGGATGACGGTGAACTTCTGTTCCTGCTCGATGCGGCTCTGCAGCCCACGGAACTGCTTTTCTTTACTCCAATCATTGAAGGCGGTCACCAGCACCACGATAATGACTGAGAACAAGATGGCAGCACCTTCGATCCAGCCTGCCTGGGCCTCTCCCTCATCCTCAATACCCCCGGATGCTTGGCCACAGTCTGGAATTACATAAAGACACCAAGAGAAAATCAATCACTTACAACGTACTGTGCAAAAAAAATGGTATCTCGCCAATCTAAACTAACCGTAACCTTCAAACAGGTTCATACAACCTTTAGAGACCATTAAGGGTCCAAGCAATAACAACAGCAGCTACACGCTCATGTTTTTATCAGAGTCTCCTTTTTGGAAAGTTTCCTCTTGCCAGAAACATGTTTTATTGCAAATTTACACTTCATTGACCTAATTTCCTCCTGGAGAACTTGATGACTGTCTAAGGCCATCCTTGTGGTTTGAGCCATATGGGTAATAGGAAAAGTCTGCAGTCGCAGCCAAATTCAGTTCTCCGGCATTCAGAGCGGTGCTTTTGAACAAAAGTCCCAAATGAGGCCGTTATTAAAACATAAGACGCCAAAATGTTGAGTCACTAATAAAGTCGCAAAAACACTAGACTGCTTTCTGGACAGTACAAAAAAGGCCTTAGCTTTCCATAGATCATTAGAGTTTGTGATCCAAAGCTACCTAAACCTAACCAAGACTATTCAAAAAAGTTTGGGATCAAAAGTTTAGTTTTTTTTTTTTTTACTGACAGCCTGGAGTGCTTGTAGCCGATAAGCCCAGAATATTGAATGAGTTTTAGCCTTTGCTTTAATCAACCAGAAACTAGTACATGGGGTTTGGGCAAAATATAAATTTCTTTAAATGGATTTCGCACAGAAACCATTTTGAAACCAGGTTAGTCATTTTTCCTCTTTTATCTGTCTATGCTTGTGATTTCTTCCCCCACTTACTTATATATATATATTTTTTTTATATATATAAATAAATAAATAAAAAAATCCCTGGCAAGATGTCCTCTGCTCACAATCAATCCTCATTAAAAAATTGCAGACAGATCAGATATGATGGACTGCTTTCTACCAGCAGCAGGTCTTTGAAAAAACACTGAATCTTGTCAGTATCGCTAAATAAATTATTATGCAACAGAGGAACATGGGAGACGGCGAGAGCGTGTCCACATTCTTCCTCAGAGACGCAGCTGTCGACTGCCCAGTCTGTTGATAATTGACACTGCAGCAAGGCTTCCAGGGGGACAGAGAATAGAAAGCTAGCAGCTGAGATTTTAGATAAGAACCAGAGGATAGATACAATAAGAGCTTGGCCATATGGAGGATCATGGGCACCATGGGGGTTCATCTAAAGTGAAAATGTTAAAGTCCCATTTTGGGGGTGTCAATTTTATGGTTATTTACTGTAAATTATAAGATGTTCTTTTTCACTTACAAAAAGTGTAAATTTAACAGTATTTTGCTGTAAAATTACATGAAATGTCCCATTAGATCTGCTGTTTTTCACTGTATAGAGTAAGGGAGCTTTTACCACAGTATTTTTACAGTATTTACTATTACAATTATGATAATTTTTCAGCTCTCAGATCTCATTGACAAGTGAACTTATTCGTGCTTTGCACATTGTAACCATTTAAAACCAGCTGAAACCTGGTGCATCTTCACACAAGATTGAATATGTGCAAACATGAATAAGGAACCTGCAACATTTTGGTCTTTCACCTCTAAAAGAAACACTGTCCCAAAGTTACAAAGTTCATCTGCAGTGAAAAGTTGAGGCCCCATTCTGAGAAAGTCAGTTTTATGGTAAATTCAAAGATGGCTTGTTCTTTTTCACTTACAAACATGACAAATTGAACAGTATTTTGTTGCAAAATTTCATGGAATACCTCAATATATTTATTAAGTTTTTTCACCATATAGAGTAAGTGAACTTTTACTTTTACTGTAGCATTGTTACAGTCTTTTACAGTATTTTTTATTTAATTTATCTTTTTACAGCTGTCAGATCTTATTCAAACATGTAGTTATTCATCCTTTTGGTCTCCAACTTAGATTTTTAAGCACTGAAGCCCAATTTATACTTCTGCGTCGAACCTACATACGTCATAGCCTACGCATAGACGCACAACCTACGCCGTAGCCTGACGTGCACCTCTCCAAAAATCTAACAGCGCGTCAATTCTACGCGGACCGCAAGCGCTATGCTTGGTCTGTGAGAACCCCTCCCTCCGTATGTACTTGAGGTTTGTGTGCACTTTAATATATTTTAATGTTACACCTTCTTATATTAGATAAAACAAAGCAAAGAACAAGTGTCTTTTATTATATAATTTATTATGTATCATTTATTATACTACATAGCATTATACATCAGTAGTTGTCCGCAACAAACAATGTTTATCTGCCTTGGTACAAGTCCTTGTGGAGATTTGAAAGAATGCCATCGTCTCCTGTTCCGTTGTTGTCTCCTTTTTGTAGTTTTAAATAATGATTTAACAATTTGATATTTATTTGCCGCCGTCATGGCTATAATGCTTCTCCAACGAGCTGCTTCTTCTTTGGCTTTTGCCGTGGTACTGTGGGTTACACCAGCAACATGCCCGTGGACACTGCAGACTAGCAGTTTGCATGTGTGTACTGCACATCGACACGGACAACAATGCAGAATTATAAATGAAAACTGACGCATAGCCTACGCCGTAAAGGCTATGGCGTAGGTCCGACGCAGAAGTATAAATCAGCCTTTAGTGGTCCTGGCCAAACTTCCACAGACAGAGCGCATCCTGAGCGAGATCCAGTTCCCAGACTAAAAAAAGTGTGTAAACTTATTGAGATCAGAGCATATCAACCAGTAATTACATTCCCAGTAACCGACAGTAGAAAGTTCAGAAATTAATGGTATGCGATTTATGACAGAATAGTCGCACAACTGATCGTTTATTTTTTCCTCACGTGTCTCACCACAATTATTTAAATGGGACACATTTCAAGTGACAGGAAAAAAACACGGAAAATTTAAATGAACATCAGAAAAGCAGCACGTGCATTTCTGGTTAAATGAAAGGCCATCTAGGGCTGTGACAGTGGCAGATTTTTACCACCACGGTGTTAATGGACCAACTACCGCTGGTGGAGCGGTGTTGATATATATATAAAAAAAATAATAATTATATATAGATATATATATTTTAGTGGTGTCAAAATTAGCGCATTAACGCAGGGGCGGGGCTAGGGTTAGTTCAACTGCTGCTTCTGTCACTTTTTTCTCTTGACAAGAACTGCATTTATTCAGTCAAGGAACGAATGAGAATGGGAGACGTTTCAGGAGCTTGCTCCTCTACACTTCGGTGACAGGCGCTAGTCAAGCAAGCGCGGACACGGTACTGTGCTCGAAGCGCGTGCTCTTCGCCTGTATCCTTTCATATCAAAGCACGAAATAAACTACGTGCATGCAATGCCGTGGTCAGTTAAGTCATGAAGTTACCAAAAAGGTGATTAAAGCTGCCTTAAAACTGTGCATGCATGTAATATATTTTATATGAGTCACATTTAAGAACATGTCTCTGAAATGGTTTTCAAAACTGTCCTGGAGTCTCACTCATCTAACACACCCGATTTAACTCGTCAGCTCGTGTTTATTTTAGCACCTCAGTCAGTGAATAATACACAGCCTGCAAAACACTAAAATAAATATCAATTAAATAATACAATTAAACAAGAAAGTAGCCTAAATAAGAAAGTTAAATACACCCAGTCTACAGGACGCGAGTTGCGCGGCGCGACAACATACCATAAAACTCCTTATAATCAGTGATGCTACACTGGATGCGGCACGACACGACATGACAAATCCCCGACAGTAAACTGCCTCGTTCTATTTATGAGGTACAGAGTTCAAATGTTCTGTGTAGACACTAGACGGACTCAACCTGTTGCGACGCGGCGGTGTCGCGTCCGGTGTAGACACGGTTCACTGTTCCGCTACTGTTATTACTCTTGTATACAAAACTTCGTATTATGCTTGTGATAGAGTGCGTGACGTCACGTGCACTACCGCCGGTGGCAGTAGATAACCGCAGTACGCGGTTGTCACGGCCACCGTCACAGCACTAAGGCCATCAATTGCGGACACTTAAAACGGGAAGCATCGCCATTCAAATCAGCAGCAAGAGTCAAAGTTCCACAGTTTAGTAAACGCAGGCAACCTCTTTAAGTTTTTCTTCACTGTGCTGTATTAACACAATGCGTTGCAATATGGTAGCGCATTGTTTTGATGCATAGGCTACATCCCTAAAAGATTAGTTAGGGTTAGGGTTAGGAAAATTCTGAAATTTTCCTAACCCTAAAATTCTGTTGTCATTTAATCACACTCATGTGGTCAAAAACCTGTGACTTTATATATATATATATATATATAGGGTGTTTTTTTTTTAATAATAACTTTGTTTTTGACTTGTATATGCACAAAAAAACCATTGTGTGCTTTTTTTTGCTTTTTTTCCCTTGCCCCCCCTGACTCAGAGTCAAATGTCACCCATGTGGAGGATGACATACAAGTCCTTATTGACTTACTTATTAAAGGGATAGTTCACCCAAAACTGAAAATTCTGTTGTCATTTAATCACACTCATGTGGTCAAAAACCTGTGACTTTATATATATATATATATATATAGGGTGTTTTTTTTTTAATAATAACTTTGTTTTTGACTTGTATATGCACAAAAAAACCATTGTGTGAAAAATCTTGTTTTATGTTCCACAGAAGTCACGAAAGATTGGAATGGCATGAGGGTGAGTAAATTATCATGTTCCTTTTTACATAACAGATTTCCACTTGTCCATTGCATATTAATTTATTAAATAGCTGGACATTATAATTTGATTGTGCCTTTAGTGTAGCACTCTCAGCTGCATTAAGCAGTGGTTTAAAACCATTCTCAAAACCATTCTCCATAAAAATCAGCAACAAAAAAATAAAAATGGCTGCTTATAAGCATCGTTGTGACCAAATATTTCTCTATCAGCGGGGTCCTGTTTGGTAATCAAGCAATCCTTCAGTTTGCCCTCTACTCTAAACATGCTGAAGGTCAAAATTGATTTTCCAGAGATTGCCCCCTCTCTTTATTTCTCCCCGCCTATTTATCTCTTGGTGCACTAACGGTCCATTCCAGGCCAGTCTGTGAGTGATTTATATATGTGTCGACATTTACGGGAATTAGGCCGAAAGCATCCTGGCCCTCTGAGTGGAATTTAGCACCAAAGTTGCAAAATT